GGATATGAAAATCTTAAGAAAACTTGTAATAAGCAAAAAGAGAGGAATTACATTATATCTAATGTATCCGTAATAATAGAACTTTTAAACATTTGAACAAAAAAATCCTTAATTCAAGTGGAGTTTACTTATGTAATGATAAATATAAATTATATATATACACTCACTTGTATAATAATCTGTGGAATATTCCTTAAAAAAATGTCAAAGAGTGTTCCCCATATAGTCGCAGCTCTAAATATATGCCTATGCACACCAAATATATTAATTTGCTCGTATGTGTATGATCTCCCAGTAAACATAGTAATATCTCGCAAAAATATCAAATATTCATAATCAGTTGCTGCTAAAAGAATTAACATAATCACTAAACCTCGATATTCAATGACCCACTTTTTATAAGTTTCTCCAATATTAATTCCCTTATAAATAATATAGCTTGCTATACAGAAGTTTATGAATATTGGAACACTTAGGAATAGTATACTTCAAATAGAATTTAAAAGGCTAAATTATTAATATAATATTAATTTACTAGCAGGACAAAAATTTTTAGATAGGATACCTTGGCAAGTGAAGCTCTGGTAAATCATTTGAATAGTGAGCAACGAAAAGAACTGAAAGAATAAAATTAGGGATGATTACCCAAATTTTTAATACTAAAGAACTTATTGCCTCAAATTTTTTAGATTGGAACTTTTTAAGCAAAAATTATGTTAATCTCATGATAAAAAAACTCTTAAGAAAATATATGATAAAATAGATTTACCTTATAACTAAGTATACGAGATGACAAATAGAATATTATAAAAATCAGAATTCCAATGATTATTACTACTTTAAACTGATTCCATGCGTTTTCTATGATCAAATATATTTTACAATTATATTATAATATATTTAACTAGGTTAGAAATCCAATTCAATTATTATTATTAACTCATGTATTAACAATTTGTTGCGTGCCAAATTTATATCTGCATCAGATTAAAAGAATTATAATCCTGTTAATACCCACCATAGACTTTCACCCAAACCCTAATGAAACTCTCGATTTAAATATTGATCTGAAGCAAATTTTAATTTGACGCACAATAATAAATGGGCAGATTAAAATGAAATCAGATTAAAATAAAAGTTTGACGTGTTTTAATTAGAATATTATGTATCATGAAATTTTTTTGGGATGCTAGGGTTCTAGCTAGCATTGAGATTGGAAAGTTAATAAAAAGTATACCGGTAAGCGAGTTTTGACGACTCAAGCAGAAGTCCAAACTGTATTTAATCTGATTTAACTATGATCTGCGCAATAGATATTCTTACCACGTATCACAAATCCATAATTTTTATCTAAATATTTTGTAAAATTCCCAACAGAGATAATAGTAATATCGCTGTTTCGTACCATTGTGTTTAAATCCTGCACAACTAAGGAAGCACTTCTCTGTGTATTATCATTCGAATCACTGATAGTAAAAAAAAGTTGAACTTGTTCAAAAGGTGCTCCGCCGTATAGAACTTGATGAACTTCTCTCGAACTTAATCTTTCTGACTTCACAGGGATGATCTGTGAAAGTTCATTTTTTAAAGACGCAAAAAAGGCTGATTTGTCCTTATTGTTCATTTGGAGAAACATTTGTGTCCCATCTGCTGTTAGATGTAGCAATCCTTGTATACTTCCTAGATAAAAAAAAAGAAAAAATTAGGATCGACTATAAACTATAAATAATTGTTGTAAGCTTTTTACCTGTGTGCATATTATTTGCTGAAATATCATCTGAAATATGATCAAAAACGATTAAAGTCAAATATATTTACAATATGTAATATATATTCCACGGGCTGTTGTGAATAACATGGTTAGCAAAGCGGTGCCGTGATAATACATGATGTTCATGGAACACCGTTGAATATCTGGCATATTTACGGTGACATCATAAAAATATCATCAAAAATGCTCATGGGCGAACATTAAGAGCCGTGGAATACGTATAAAAAAAATATAACGCGTATAACCTGTGGAGAATTGCCAGATACGAGATTGAACACCCAAAAGAGGATCTTTAATCGATCGACTTTTTACAAAATCGGTATCAACTTGTATGTAATATTTTTGACCAGGACTATTAAAAGTACTGGATATAACGTTAATAATCACACTATTTCCATCAGAAGAGAGGGAGCAATATTGATTATTGACACCGGAGACGATTTGTCGAATAATTGCATGTTTAGAATCAATAATTTGATATATTGTAATATTTCCATTCGATAGATCAACTTGATCATAGTATGTAATAGAAATGCTATTAATAGCCAATGGAATGACAGAA